AAACATGTAAAGATCTGGAGGTATAAAGCCAAATAGTAAAAATACACTCAGCATATCTCAAGCCAAAAGAAATGAAGAAAAAAATGAAGCCACAAGTTGAAATATTGAAGGAATCAGTAGTCAAAATACTACATCAAAAGAAGCATCAACTAAGTGAAGTAAGCCAAGCGCAAAAGAGAAGTACAACATAAGTCTGCTGAGGTGAATTTATTTAAAAAAAAAGAAGAAGAAGAAAGAAAGAAAGAAATGCAAAAGGGGCACAGGGAAAAAGCTGCTTAATATAAACATTCTAGGGGTGAGGTCCAGGTAGTATGGCAGAGGCCAGAGCAAATCCAGTGGTACATATGATAGCCAACTAAAAAGGGGGCAGGAGAGGAAAGGAAAAAAAAAAAAAGAAATGTGTAGCCAGGGAATAGGGCACTAAAGAGGGACCAGAAATAAATTCGATGTTCTGGGATGCGAATCCAGCATGCCGGCATGGAGAGGGGAGCCAGTGGAGGGGCTTGAGGGCTCGGCCCCAATCCCAGCTATGTAGACAACTGCCCCTCAACCCAGAATAATTTACTTTAGAGGAGAGCACTGAAGCTGCAGCTCTGGTAGAGGAACATGTCTGATCAGAGTACATGGGAGCAAATGAATGGGGAGGAAGAGAGAGTGGAGCACATACTGGCCCACCAAGCCTGGAGGACGATATCCCTGCTCTGAACAGCCAATGCACAGAGTGGACCACATGGCTGATCCCACTATGAGACATGACATCCCTTGCTGACCCATGGCCTTATGGGGGACAACACTGGAGACTCAGTGTCAGGATTGGCCTGGTCTGACCTCACCACACCGAGGCAAAACACTAAGGGCATAAGGCAGAGCAACAGGAGGAATAGAGCAGGGAGCTCCTGAGGGAGTGCAAAGGATAGACTTTGGGGCCAGAGCGTGGCATCCCATCATACTCCACTGGAGAACATGCCTAGAGGTCAAAAAACAGACCTTGATTTATTTAATGGTTTTTCTTTTTTAATTTATTTTTTTCGCGATCATTGGTTTTCATTGTTGTCGTCATCATTGTGTTCTCTTTTGTCACTTTGTCTTGCTATGCCTTGTTTTTTATGTGCATATTACTATCTCTGCAGGTCTATCTAGATAAGATAGGCTGGATGAATAGTCTGGAGGAGAAAACAACGTGACTGATGGTCCTGGGAGGACATTGGAGAGGGGGAGCCAGGTGAAAGGAGGTGATGCTGACCAATCCAGGGACAAGGGAACAACAAGTGATCCAAAATTAGTGGCAAGGAGAGTGTGAGAGGCCTGGTAGGGATTCAGCAAGGGCAATGTAACAGAGAAACTACTGAAACTCAAATGAAGGCTGAACATGATAGTAGGACAGTAAGAAAATAAAAGGAAATAGAGGAAAGAACTAGGAGGCAAAGGGCATTTATAGTGGTCTAAATACAGGTATGTACATATGTAAATATATTTATATAGGAGGGTGGAGAAATAGATCTACGTGCATATATTTATAGGTTTAGTATTAAGGCAGCAG